AAAGATATGGGTACTTGTTCATAACTTGATTACCGAGGACAAGCCACAGGGGGCATAAATTGTAAAACCCAACAAACTTGAAGCATGCAAGTTTCGGGAAAAGGGAAATCCACTCATGGAAATTATGAACTACTTACGATATATAATAATAATATTATTTAGCCCCTCTTTGGGCAAATGCTTCCTATCATACCCGGCCTCATAGAGTTCTCGGTCATACCCGGCCACATGAGGGCTTGGTAGTATCTTATCTTACATTGTTCCATACCAGGCCTCACAGAGAGCTCGGTCTTACCTGACTACACAAGGGCTCGATAGTATTTCATATCGTACCCAATTGATCAGTGCCCTAGATGTCTATAGCGCGACTCTGTAAAGTAAAATAAATACATATACATATAAGTGAAATACAGTTTCAACTTCAAAAGATATCAAGGTTAGACTCAGGACAAATCATACTATCCGACCACATAATACCAACTGGGAACATTTTAAACATTACCAGAAATGCTACCAGCAAGAATGTACAAGGTCAGAACAACATCATATATAGGGGCTTAGTACTACCAAATCGTACAATGCAAGATTCATTTAGAAGGAAGAAAAGACTTACAATAACTCATTTCAAGAAAGAAAGTTTCCCTACATACCTTATTGAAGATATAACTATGCTTCTATGGTGGTTAACTTTTCCTCTAATGAACCTTCAGATTCAATCCCACCAGATGACAGATGTTGCAGAAACAATTCCAAGTTTCTCCAAGCTAAATCCTAATGGAACCGTCTTTTGATTTGGTTTAGGCTATGTGAAACTTCAAAGAAGATGTGAGAGTATTTTTGGTGAATTATGGAAGATCTGAGCAAGGAATTTTCTTGAAGTGTGTTATATTTCACCTTAGTTATATAAGGAGGTTCTGGGAGGACTCAGGTTCAATATTCTTAGGTGGAGGTATGGTGAAAGGAAGAGGATTCCCTCAGTTGTTTCTTTTTAGAGTATTCATGTACTAATGGAGCACTAATCATTTGGCATGATTGGTTATGTATTCGGGACTAGGACTGAGAGGGTGACTCTCAAGAAGGTTCTAGTGGATTCAAGATTCAATATGTGATATCTAAAGATCTCTGAATTTATGTGTGACTGAAGAATTTAAGATTGGTGTTGGTTTGTGAAAGAGACTTGGAACATTTCTGTATCATTATTGGTTCTGCAAGGCAGTGTTTGAGACATGGAAGGAACAACTTAAGATTCATAAAAGTCTTCTTCAGAACAAGTACTTGGGTTAGAGGTACTATTGGATGTATAAGAGGGAATAAGTGGCTCACGAGTCTTAGGACAATGATATTTCATGTTGGGATCACTTGGGATGAGTCTTGATTGAGATACATTGTGTGCTAGGGAAGAGTAGTGTTGTCGTGAAGGATGGTCATGAGTAAAATGAAGGAGTTGGGTCCATTTAGCAGCGACTTGGTTCAGCATGGTAGTAGCGACGATAGGTCCCTTTGTATTGTAGGGCTTTACATGCGTTTTTATGGTAATACTGTTGGGTTTTGTAGTTTGTTTGATTTGGGTGATTTAGAGGGATGCAGTTCGGCTGGCTTGGTCATGAGCATATGGATTTCGAATAGTTTGCGATGATTTTTACCACAAGTTGTAGTTGGTGTCTTCTATAGGCATGGAAAGCTTTTTGCGTGTTGTGATTTTCTCCAAAATTGAGTTCAGTGGGAGGTTTTTGGCGATGGAGTGTATATCCTATTTGTGATTCAAAGTGATAATGGGATTCTTGTATTTTGCATATTAGAGTGATAGATGCGGTGAGCTGTATTGATGGGATTGCATGAATAAGATAGCTGTTCAGTTTCGAAAGGATATGTTTTGTGGAAGATGCATTGTGTATTGATTGAAAATGCTTGACTAGTACTACAGAAATCACACAGTTAGTAGCCATTGATGTTTAGGTTTTTCTACTTGGTGCGGAAGGTTATGGGAGTATCTCCCATGGGGTTATTGTGTATGTGTGACATGTCAGGCATTGATGAGAAAGCTTTAGAGATTAGGTATGGAGATTCTGGTACTCTCGTAGTTTGGAGATTATATTTCTGAGAGGCTGATTGTACCTCTGGTTGTGGACCGTGGAAGTGTGTTCAGGATTTGTACATGATTTTATGTGTCATAGATAGGGTCACAATGGACTTTTGGAAGGCTATTAGCCTATTTTGTGATGATCCAAATCGGTTGGGAAGCCTATTGGTAGGTCAAATGAGAATGTGTATTCTACACTAGATTGGATTCGTTTATTCAGCGCATCATTTTCTATGAGTGTGTCATCAGGCGGAGTGGATGTTATTCATGCTTTGATCTGCTTCATGTGTTACTTTCTTATGCTATGATCGGTTGTGAGGCTACTTGATTATTCACACACATATTGTGGTTCTATTTAGGCCTTGTGGTGATATTTGAATAAGATGGCTCTTGAGATGCTGAATTGTTTATTGCACCTTAGTTGTGCTTAGCCTTTTTCCGTAGTGCATTATGCTAACCGTCTTTCCATGGTCATGTTTACACACTTTAAACATGACCATGGGACCGTTTTTTGATTTGGTTTAGGCTCTGTGAAACTTCAAAGAAGATGTGAGAGAATTTTTGGTGAATTATGGTGAGTGGTATTCCTCAAAAGAAAAATATGAAGGAGAATGAGCCTCATTGCCCTTATATACAGGTACCAATCATAGGAATCTGCACCAGGTCTACATTCAAAATGGGTTGCCCTGCCCCAGTTACAACACTAGGTGGGACAGCTGGCGCAAGCTTGCTGAAACGTGTAATACCGTTTGCCTTCACACGGGTTGCCGGATGTCAGGCCATGCTAGAAACCACACTTACCAAGCTTTATTTAGGTGTGGGGTATAACATCATCTCCCCCTTTGGAACATTCGTCCTCGAATGTTGAATTTCGGTCTATTATGATGGTCTCATTGTTGTCTCCCATGGCATGGAATAAATGGGGTACTTAGACTTTATACCTTCTTCCGCCTCCCACATCATTTCTTCCATAATTTTGTTCCTCCAAAGTACTTTAACTGAAGTCACTTCTTTAGTTCGCATCTTTCGGACTTGACGATCAAGAATAGCCACCGGAGCTTCTTCATAGGATAGATCTTCTGTGACTTGAATGTATTCAATAGGGGTAATGCGGGATGGATTGCTTTAACATTTTTGAAGCATGGACACATGGAATACCGGATGCACTGCCTCCAATTCCGAGGGAAACTCAAGATTATAAGCTACTCGACCGACCTTCTGTATGATCTGATATGGTCCGATATACTGGGGGTTGAGTTTGCCTCTTTAAGCAAATCTCTTCAAGCTTTTCATAGGTGACACTTTCAGGGACACCCAGTCTCCTACAACCAACTCCAAATCTCACTGTCAGCTATTCGAGTAAAATTATTGTCTGCTCTGAGTGGTCAATAATCGACCTCGAATTGTCTTAACCTTTTCTATAGCCTGTTGCACCAACTCAGGGCCTAATAACTTTGTTTCACCAACTTTGAACCAACTTATAGGAGATCTGCACTTTCGTCCATATAGGGCCTCATAAGGTGCCATCCGAATGCTAGTGTGATAGCTATTGTTGTAAGCAAATTCGATGAGTGGTAAATGACCTTCCCAATTTACCTTGAAATCCAAAACACATGCCTGTAACATGTCTTTGAGCGTTTGAATAATGCGCTCGGCCTGGCCATCGGTCTGGGGATGGAAAGCTGTACTAAGGTTGATCCTTGTGCCCAATCTTTTTGGAATGAACTCCAGAAGTTAGCCGTCAACTGGGCACCTCTGTCCGATATAATGGAAACCGGAACCCCATGAAATCGAACTATTTCTTTAATATAAAACTTAGCATACTCTTCAGCCGAGAAAGTAGTTTTGACTAGCAGAAAGTGAGCTAACTTGATGAGTTAATCCGCGAAAACCCATAGAGAATTAGACCTTTGGCGTGATCGTGGTTGTCCGATAATGAAATCCATATTGATTACTTCCCATTTCCAGGTTGGAATTTCCATATCTTACAGCAACCCTCCTAGTTTCTGATGATCAACCTTAACTTATTGGCAATTTGGACTACGAGTGATATATCCAGCAATGTCCCTCTTCATGACGTTCCACCAGTATAGCTGTCGAAGATCATGGTACATCTTGGTTTACCCGAATGAATAGAATACTGGGACCGATGAATCTCTACCATGATATGCTCTCTGAGTCCCCCGACATCGGGCACATATAACTGGTCCTGGTATCTAAGGACTCCATCCCCAGATATCTCAAACACTTGTTTCCTTTGAGAGGGAATGCTTTCCCTTATTTTCACCAAGGTTGGATCTTCAAATTGTCGTGCCTTTACTTTAGATACTAACGAGGATTCGGTAGCATTTCGAACTATGGCTCCTCTGCAATTGGTATCAAACAATCATACATTTAGGTTTTCCAACCGGTACAAGCCTTTAGTAATCTCCAACTCTGCTCCTCCACATGCCGCAGGCTGCCCATATATTTCTGACTTAACGCATCAGCCACAACATTTACCTTCCCAGGGTAGTAAAAAAATAACTTCATAGTCCTTTAACAATTCGAACCACCTCTGTTCCCTCAAATTCAACTCTTATTGCTTGAATATGTACTGCAAGCTCTTTTGATTGGTGAATATGTCAACGTGAACCCCATACAGATAGTGACGCCATATCTTTAGAGCGAAAATGACAGTTGCTAGCTCCAGATATGGGTTGGATAATTTTGCTCATGTTTTCTCAGCTGCCTTGAAGCATATACAATCACATTCCCGTGTTGCATTAGTACATTGCCTAATCCCACCCTGGAGGCATCACAATATATGACGTACCCCTGGGGTTCTTTAGGAAGAGTTAACACTGGTTCTGTGGTTAACCTGTCCTTTACTACTTGGAAGCTCTTCTCACAACCATCGGTTCACCGGAATTTCACTGCTTTATGCGTCAACTTTCTTAATGGAGGAGCTATAATGAGAAATTTTCCACAAACCTTCGGTAGTAACCGGCAAGCCCAAGAAGCTGCGTACCTCGGTAGGAGTTGTGGGCCTTGTCCAATTCTTGACTGCTTCAACCTTTTGACTATCAACTTTGATACCCTCACCGGATACTATATGCCCAAGGAAAGACACCGAGTTTAACCAGAACTCGCACTTAGAAAATTTGGCGTACAACTTGTGATCCCGGAGTATGCGTAGATCCTTTCCCAAATGCTCTGCGTACTCTGCCTCCATTCGAGAGTACACCAAAATATCGTCAATGAATACGATCACAAATATATCCATGAATGGCCTAAATTCTCGATTCATCATATCCATGAAGGCCGCTGGTGCGTTGGTTAGGCCAAAAGAAATAACAAGAAACTCGTAATGGCCATATCTGGTCCGAAAGGCTGTCTTCGGAATATCCTCCTCTTTGATCCTTAACTGATGGTACCCAAATCTGAGATCAATCTTTGAAAAATACTTAGCACTTTGCAATTGATCAGACTAATCATCGATCCTTGGGAGCGGATACTTGTTCATGATGGTTACCTTATTTAGTTTTCGGTAATCAATGCACATCCTCAATAATCCATCTTTCTTGCAAACAAACAACACCAGAGCTCCCCACGGGGAAGTACTAGGTCTAATAAAGCCTTTATCGAGAAGTTCCTTCAACTGATCTTTCAATTCCTTCATCTCGGCAGGAGCCATCCTGTACGGGGGAATTGATATCGATTGCGCATTCGGTGGCACATCGATAAAAAACTCAATCTCCCTCTCGGGTGGAATACCCAAGATCTTATCAGGGAACACATCAAGGAATACACTTATGACCAGAACCGAGTGAAAGATGGGAGGATTCACCTCCACATCTTGCACCCCGCATCAAATGATAGAAACATCCTTTCATGATCATCTTTCGGGCCTTAAGTTAGGAAATAAACTTCCCTTTTGGCACTGTAACATCGCTCATCCATTCGATAGCAGGCTCTCCCAGGAAGTTGAAACGAACAACTTTCCTCCAGTAATCAACTGTAGCATAACAAGAGGCCAGCCAATCCATTCCCATAATAACACCATATTCTATTATTTCTAATTCATTCAAATCAGCCAAGGTAGGATAATCATGAATGATCACATCGCAACCTCCATACACTTGTCTGACTACCACAGACTCGCTCACCGGCATGGATACTTCGAACGGTTGTCGTAGCAATTTAGGTACTTTACCACATTTACTTGCGACAAATGGGGTAATATATGACAGGGTGGAACCTGGATCTATCAAAGCATACACACAAATGGAAAACACGTATAGTGTACCTGTGACCACGTCTGGTGAAGACTCTAAATTTTGATGACCTGCCAACACATAAATATGATTCTGCTGTTGCGCACCGGGGCTGGACATGGACATTCCACCTCTACCTCTACCTCTTCCCATTAGAGGTTGTATACCCTACTCACGAGGATGTGCTGTCGATGAAGAAGCTTCTACTGACCCCGTAGGCAGTATCACTCCACCTACATTTCTCACTGGGCAAAATCGCATGATGTGACTGGGCTACCCATAAGAATAACACAAATTCAAACCCTGGAGGCAATGCTTGAAATGATTCCTACCATATCGGCCACAATGTGGACTTAGGGGTCTTGTCCTAGTAGGATCCCCACTACTTTGTGAGCTCTGCCCTCGGAAGTTCTGGCCCTGATTGGAATATGTGATCCGGTCATGATGCTGACCCTAGAACTGTGACATTGCACTAGCCACTGAATTAGATGGGTACAGGGGAAAAGAAGGTCTAAACTTACCTCGTGACTCTCCTATATCACCTATAGATCGGTCTCTCTTAGATTGATCCTGGTCTTGTTCTCGAGTAGCTCGTTGTATCCTCTTACGATTTTCCAAGTTCTGTGCATAGGCCTGAATACGAGCAATATCCATAATCGGGTTCAGAGAAGCTGTGGTACATTCGTTTATCATATGAGGCCCCAAACCGCCACAAATCAATGTACCTGGTCACTCATCTCGGCCACCACCGATGGAGAATACCTAGCCAAGGAGTTAAATTGCACGATGTACTCCCAGAAACTCATATTACCTTGCTCTAACATCAAGAATCTATCTTGTCTAGCTCGGCGGAGTTCAACAGGCATATACTGCTGCATGAATGCCTTTGAAAATTCCCTCCATCCTGCTGCTGGGGCAAGAGGTCCCCTAGATTTTTCCCAAGCCTCATACCATATAACAACTATATCACTCAATCTGTAAGAGGCAAGCTCTATGGACTCCATATCAGTGGTATGCATCACTCCTAAAGTCCGCTACATTTGATCTAAACAGTTCTGAGGATCTTCGTTTGGATCTGTTCATGTGAATACCGGGGGGTCCAAATTTATGAAATCTCGAACTATCGTACTTACTGCTTTATCTGATGTGGCAGGGGCCTGACGTTGGGCCTGAGAGGTCACCAACTGAGTTAACAACTGCACTGCACTTCTCATATCTAAATCTTGGACAGTAACAACTGGAGGAGGGATAAGAGGTTATTAACTTCTCTATGCTTTTCCGGGGGTAGTGGTGTTGTCCCCAAAACCTGAGTTCAACCCTCACCGTGTTGTCAATGTTCACCCATAGGGGCAGGCGACACCTGGCTGGTACCTTATCCTGCTTGCTCATTCAATCCTTGAGCAAGTGATTGGTGTCTCGTGGTATGCATTGCTATTATTATAAACAAGTTGAGAATTAGAAATGGATACTTACAACTCAGCTCTATTGCACGGCCTAGATTAGAAAGAAAAGTATTCATCCTCGATATACCGTAGCCTTTTGCTTATAAGTATGGTGCACAATATACCCAATAAACAAGACTGTACTAGACACGACTTGTAGACTTCCTAGGACACGACCGGCTCTGATACCAAGTTTGTCACACCTTAACCTTAGGAGGTGCGACTGGCACACAATGTCCGAAGGCCCGTGTGAACCGACACATGTTCTTACATCTTTTTATTCATAGAATCTAGGCCGTTGAGTCCTACAAGTAATAGTCACCGGAATTAACATGTGTGAAGCCGATTAACAAAAGAAACAATGGCATTTTATACATGATCATCACCGTTTCCAAAATTGTCATACTCGACCATTTCATGCAACCAAATACTAATACTAGTCTACAAGCCTATAAGAGTACCAAAAGAGATATACATATTACACAACTTGGTCGGGACAGGGCTACCGCACACAAAATGTTTATGACATCTGCTTTAGTACCTATTAACTTCTGAACAACTGCTATGAAGGAGTGGAGAGCAATAACAAATCAGCTGGAACAACACCCTATTGAGGATGGGCGTCACCTGGTCTATCTATACCTGTGGGCATGAACACATCGCCCAAAAGAAAGGAGCGCCACTACGGAAAATGTACTGAGTATGTAAGACTAAGAGAACACGTAAAATCAGTGTCCTGATATAAGAGATATGAGTTCATGTTCATAACCTGATTACCAAGGACAAGCCACCTGGGGCATAAACTGTAAATCCCAACAAACTTGAAGCATGCAAATTTTGGGAAAAGGGTAAGCCACTCATGGAAATTATGCACTACTTACGATATATAATAATAATATTATTTATCCCCACTTTTGGCATATGCTTCCTATCATAACCGTCCTCGCAGAGGTCTTGGTCGTACCTAGCCATGTGAGGGATCGATAGTGTCGTAACTTACATTGTTCCATACCCAGCCTAATAGAGGGCTCGATCATACCCGACCACATGAAGGCTCGGTAGTCTCTTAAATTACATTTTTCCATACCCGGCCTCATAGAGACATCGGTCGTACCCGACCACACCTACATGCCTTGTTGAAGATCTAACTATACTTCTATGGTGGTTAACTTCGTCTCTAATGAACCTTCAGAATCAATCCCACCAGATGACAAATGTTGCAGCAACAATTCCAAGTTTCTCCAAGCTAGATCCTAATGGAACCATCTTTTGATTTTGTTTAGGCTATTTGAAACTTCAAAGAAAATGTGAGAGCAGTTTTGGCCCTTATATACATGTACTAATCATAGGATTCTCCACCGGGTACACATGCAAAATGGGTCACCCTGCCCCAGTTACAACACTGGGTGGGACAGCTGGTGCAAGCCTGTTGAAACGCGTAATCCCTTTTGCCTTCACACGCGTTACCGACTGTCTGACCGCGCTAGAAACCGCACTTACCATGCCTTATTTAGGTTTGGGGTGTAACAGATATATATATATATATATATATATATATATA